TTGGGCTGCAGGGTTCCCAAGCGGAATATGAGTTGCTGTTCCTGCAACCTTCGGGTGGCATCGTTGTGGCACTGCAGGAGGCCCAGGATGGACATGTCGTCTGAGGAATGGGAGGGGGAGTTGAAATGGTTCGCGACTGGGAGGTGCAGTTGTTTGTTGCGAACCGAGCGTAGGTGTTCTGCAAAGCGGTCCCCGAGTCTCCGCTTGGTTTCCCCGATGTAGAGGAAGCCACACCGGGTACAGCGGATGCAGTATACCACATTGGCAGATGTGCAGGTGAACATCTGCTTGATGTGGAAAGTCTTCTTGGGGCCTGGGATGGGGGTGAGGGAGGAGGTATGGGGGCAGGTGTAGCACTTCCTGCGGTTGCAGGGAAAAGTGCCGGGTGTGGTGGAGCTGGAGGGGAGTGTGGAGCGGACAAGGTGTCAGGCCAACTCCCTGATGTGTTCCTATCTCCACCCAGCAGAAATGAGTCCTATTTTGCCACATGGCTCCTATTTTCCCAGAGGTGAGCAGGACCCCTACTGCACGCGCGGCTCATCAGCTGTCAGAAACATGTGCCCAGTGAGATGGCCCAGCAGCATTAGAGGAGAGAATCGGGAAAATTTGAGAAGGCTGTGTTTAAGTTTGGTTACAGAGTTGCTATTGCAGAAATACTCTCTCAGAATCTCTGTTGCGGAGTGTGCTGGCAATTAGAAAAATTCCACCCCAGAAATGTCAAGCCTTTTTTAAAAATTCCTTCATGGAATGAGGGCGTCACTGTCTAGGCCAGCATTTATTGCCCATCCCTAACTGCCCAGAGGGCAGTTCAGAGTCAACCACATTGCTGTGGGTCTGCAGTCACTTGTAGGCCAGACCAGGTAAGGATGGCAGTTTCCTTCCCTACAGGACGTTAGTGAATCAGAGGAGTTTTCCCTGACAATTGTTTCGTGGTCATTGGGCTCTTAATTCCAGATATTTATTGAATTGAAATTCCAAAATCTGCCATGGCAGGATTCGAATGCTGGTCCCCAGAACATACCCAGGTCTCTAGATTAACAGTTCAGCAATAATACCACCAGGCTATTGCTGCCCAATGTTCTACTTTGATGTCCCAATGTGCACCAGCCTGTCAATCACCGTGGCTCCCAGAGACTTCCCAGCATGCATTCCTGACAAGTCAACATGACTTACCCTTTCAGCATTTGCAAAGAAAGATTTGAAAAAAGGGGCAGCAGGAATGTTATATACATGCTTCATTTCATAACTTCATCCTGGGTGTGTCAGAAATCCTGCTGACACGCATTGCTGAATTTCCGACAGAGAGGTTAAAAGGAATCTCCCTTTACCCTGATCTTTCTTCACTAGAAGAGCTCTTATGAGTAAGTTATAAGTTAGTCTAAAATTATGAAAGGCCGGGACAGGGTAAATAGTGGCAGATTGTGGCTAACGGCTGGGGAGTCAAGAATGGGGGCCCCATAGAAGATTAGATGCAAAAGATTTAGAACAGCCGGCAGAAACATCATTATACAGAAAGCTGAGAGACTGTGGTCCTCCAGGGTTAACGACTGAGCCAGAACTGTCGACATTAAAGACTAGACTAGAACTTATATGGTGTAGGGGAGTGTCCCAACCTCTGAGTCACTAGGTCCAGGTTCAAGTCCCACCTACCCTGGACACGTACCTGAACAGGTTGGTTTATTTTTAAATGTAAAGGTTTTCTTAGCAAGGATAGTTGAATGAGGGAGATGGGTAAATATCATTAAAACTCTTTCCTCTCATGGAACTGAATGCTGATAGGGATTGGTTGGACTGAATGGCCAATTGCCATGTTTTATTTATTGGGATGGTACGGACTGCAATTTTTGATCATTCATTAATTTGACAACACTAGCAAATTCTTCATGAAGAATTTCTTCTAAATGCTCTCTACTTCTTGTTTCAGATCTTAAAGATGCGTGTGCATCAACACCTTGCCTGAATGGTGGGACATGCCGCAATGGCATCGATGAGTATAACTGCACTTGCAGGACAGGTTACGAAGGCAGGAGCTGTGAGATTGGTAAAGGCAATCAGTCTGTAATTACTGACGTGGGATGACAGACGTTTGCACGAACTGTTAAGGGAGGTTCATTTAAAGGGGACTTTCAAAGAGTCATTGGAATCTCAGAGATCTGTGGGCCCCCAGATCTTTGGGGGGGTGGAGGCTGTTCATCCAAATTGCTTACGGCACTTGTCAATCCAGTTCCTTTTGAAAACATGGCAGCTAATAATCTGACTTGCGCTTTCCCTATTTGTTTCCCTGTCCAGTTTCTGAGCTAGCATTGACTGTGCCTCTTCTCACAGCTCCATTACACAGACTCCCAAAGTGCCATGTCATCTCACTGACCCTTAGGGCACCATTGTGAAACCTATCCACGTCCAAGGACAACCCAGCTCAGGTCAAGAATCCAAAAGACTCCAGTCTATTGTACATGCTGTCAAACATGGATGCAAAGCCCCCATCACTGAATATTTCCTTCAGTTTAAGCCAATCTATGTCTGGAGGGCAATCATCCTGTTATAAAGCAAGGGCAGAAGTCATACAACACCGGGTTATAGTCCAGCAGGTTTATTCCTTCTGGAACTTGGTGCAGTGGTCCGAAATCTTGCAGTTTCAAATAAACCTGTTGGAATATAACCAGGTGTTGTGTGACATCTGACCTTGTCCACTTCAGTCCAAAACCGGCACCTCCACATGTTATAAAGCACACAGAGCTGCGGTGTTGGCTCACACAACCAGATGTCCCCGTGTCCGGGAGGACTATCTCCCAGGTATAAAAGAAGCAACACTGGAAGTGTGTTCTCATACTACTAGATCTATCTCTGTCTGGAGGGACAGGTTTCAAAAAGATCCAGAGCTACAGTGCATTCCCACACCACCAGATATCACTGTGTCTAGCGGACAGCTTCTATCTTGTTTGATTTTTTTTTTATGGTTTTGCCTTTTAAAACATGGGTGACCAAACATTTGTGCCACTATGGGAGATTAGGGTACGTGGATAAGCAAATTCAGGAAAGTGGAAATCATGAACAGCAACATTTGGATCATGGTGTTTGATAAGGCAACTGTGTTGTGGATCAGCAGAAACAATCTTGCAACTAGTTTTGTAGGTTGTGGGTTCAGTTTTCATGGGCTACTTATTATTGCAAGTATCATTGTTTTTACATTTTTCTTTCACGGGATGTGGTATCACTGATGAGGCCAGCGCTTATTGCCCATTCCCAATTAACTTTGAAAAGGTGGCTGTGAGCTGCTTTCTTGAATTGCTGAAGTTTGTGGGTGGCTGGATACTCACAATGCCATTGTGGAGTGAGTTCCAGGATGTTGACCAGACAGTAGAGAAGGAAAATGATATATTTCCAAGTCAGGCTGGTATGGGGCCTGGAGGGGAACTTGCATACCGAAATACTGAGAAAGAAAACTGTGTATTTGTGCAAAAGTCTGATTCCATTTCACATTGCAAGTTCTTGTGTTGCTATTTTGAATTGCAATTTCCTCAATCAATTTCAAAATAACTGTATCTTAGCAGAAAATGACAACTGTGCATCAAAACCATGCAAAAATGGAGGATGGTGCAAGAATGATGCCACACAGTACGAGTGCCTCTGTGAAATTGGTTATCACGGTCTCAATTGTGAACTTGGTAAAGTACTTCTAATACTATAAACCTTGCCAGATTTGACTATCTAATGTCCAAGTGTGGAGATAAAGAAGTTCTTAATTACATGAGGCAATGACTAACTTCTTACAGCAGTGGCCAAAACATGATAGAAGATTGGGTAACCTAAAGCAAATGGGATGAAATTCTGGGATTATAAGAAATATGACAAGAGTATACTCATAGTCACAGGGAGCAACAAACACTGTTGAGCATTGATAGTGATGATGGGAAGGGTATTGATGGTAAGAATGATGGGCATTCATTGTAAAAACTGTTTGGTAACAATGGGGTGAGCTTCCTGGTCAGATGTGTGATGGAAAGAAATTGGAATCTCTAGCATCACATGGATCGGATTGGTACCAACAGCATGAAGTGTAATCCCACTTCAGAACCTGCCTCCTTCCTCTATCAGCTGCTGACCCCACTTGGAGTCCGGTTCTTCATTTTGGGAGACCCTGCCATAAGTTCCTTATTCTCAACCATACATCCTGATATGTTTGAAAATTATCAATGGAATCAGCTTCCAGCACCTTTTCAGGTCGAAAATCATGTAGATCTGAACAACCCAAGACAAATTTCTCTTTATCTCCCCTCCAGATCAATGAGAATCATAGAGTATGACAGAATCCCTATAGTGTCGAAACAGGCCATTTGGCCCATCAAGTCCACATTGACCCTCGGGACAGCATCCCACCTGGACCCACTCCTTACCCTATCCCTGTAACCCTCCATTTCCCATGGCTAACCCACCTAGCTTGCACATCCCTGGACACAATGGGCAATTTAGCAAAGCTAATTCATTCAAACTGCACATCTTTGGACTGTGGGAGAAAACCCACACAGAAAGGAGAATGTGCAAATTCCTCACAGACAGTCGCCCAAGTCTAGAACTGAATCCAGGTGCCTGGCGCTGTGAGGCAGCAGTGTTAACTTCTAAGCCACTGCACCACCCTAAGTGGTTCTTAATATGTGGACTGTGGACCCTTTTTGGACCAAGAAAACCCTCCAGCTGGCCCTCGGGCCACACCATTAAGCTAAAAGATTTTCATACAACCTCAAAAATCTGTCATCCTTACAATGTTTGATTCCAATCCCATTCTTCACGTGGTTAACCCTAAACGGCCCTCTACCATGATCTAGTAAAGCACACAGTTTTATCACAAACACCTTCCCAAAAGGCAGCCAACCACCAACGTCTCAAAATGATCATCTTGCCATCAACATCAAGGAGGTATTTTTAAAAAGAATCTTGGGTGGAGCCAGCATTAAAATGGGACCTGCAAAGTGTACTCAGTCTGTAACAGAACAGTCCAGCCAACGCAAGTGTTCAATTTAATTGCTGGCTATTAAAACTCTTAGAGCATTATTACAGAATTTAGAATCAAAGAATCATTACAACGCAGAAAGAGGCCATTCAACCCATCAGGTCAGCACTAACCCTTTGAAGAACATCCCACTCTGACCCACCCCTTCCCAATCCTATAATCCTGCATTTACCATGGCTAACCCACTTAACCTGCACATCCCTGCACACTATGGGGCAATTTAGCATGGCCATTCACCTAACCTGCACATCTTTGGAATGTGGGAGGAAACTGGAGCACCCAGAGGAAACCCACACTGACACAGAGAGAATGTGCAACCTCAGCACAAACAGTCACATGGGGCTGGAATCGAACCCAAGTCCTTGGCGCTGTCAGACAGCACTGTGCCACCTTTTTCTTTAAAACAATGGCGTGAATAGCTTTCTTTAAATTTATTCACAGGATGAGGGTGTCACTGGCTGGGCTAGCATTTATTGCCCATCGCTAATTGCCCAGAGGGTAGTTAAGAGTCAACCATATTGCTGTGGGTCTGGAGTCATATGTAGGCCAGACCAGGTAAGGATGGCAGTTCTCCTTCCCTAAAGTACATTACTGAACCAGATGGGTTTTTTTCCCCTGACAATTGACTGGTTTCATGGTCACCATTAGACTCTTCATCCCAGCTTTTTATTGAATTCAAATTACACCATCTGCCGTGGTGGGATTTAAGCCTGGATTCCCTGACCATTACCTGGGTCTCTAGATTAAAGTCCGGCCATCGCCTCCCCTCAATCTAGAAGTTAACTTCATCTAGAAGTGACCAAACACTTGATAAAGCAGCGCAAACAGACCAATAACTAAAGAGATGATACACATTTCCTACTGATTATATATTTGATTGTCGATTCTTTGCTTTACTTGGTGCTGTGGCACTGGTTCACTTTTATAAGGATGGATCTTTTTAGAGAGTTGTAACTTAGAGCTTCCTGTACCTGGGTATCACAAGGCAGACCTTAATTTGGGGCAGTGGCATATCATTGAAGAATCTGAGGGCACGTTTAAGGATTTCCTACAATTGAAATATTGATCTCCGTACTTCAAATAATTATTCATAGATTTCAATCCAGAAATCAAATCAACTGCATTGTAGATAAATGTATCTGAATAACTCTTTGAATTTCAGGTCCCATTGACTGTTCATCACATGGACAAACCTGCGACCACTTCTGTAAGCCACATGATGGCATTTACATCTGTCAATGTGCCCAAGGATATAAACTTGGAGATGATGAAAGGAGCTGTGTGCCTGAAGGTACATATTCGAGATTAGTAATGTCTTGCATTTCATTCCATTCCATAAATCACCTTAGACATGTAGTCTGCACTTGCAGAACTAGGAGATTTGAGATGGGGTTTAGCTCCACTTCATGGCAGTAACGAGATAACCTGCTACCCATCACAGGCTCACTGTGATAACAACAATCACACAACAATGCAGCACAGTTACAAGGAGAGGTTGGAGAGGTTGGGACTTTGTTTTACCCTGGAGCATAGGAGACTGACCTTATAGAGGTCTGTAAACTCATGAGAGGCATAGGTAAGGCTGATAGTCAGCAGCTTATCCTCATGGTAGGGGAGTCTAAAACTAGATAGCATAGGTTTAAGGCGAGAGGGGAGAAATACAAAAGGGTCCAGAGGTACAATCTTTTCACACAGATGATGGGGAGTGTCTGGAACAGGGTACCAAAACTAGTGGTGGAAGCGAGTACAATTTTGACCTTTAAGAACATTTAGATAGGGACATGGATGGAATAGGTTCAGACGGACATGGACCAAACGCAGGAAAATGGGAATAGTTTAATTGTGAAAACTGGATGGCATGGACAGGTTGCGCCAAAGAGTCTGCTTCCATACTACAAATTCTAAGTCCTGCTGCAGTATGTAGACAGTCATAAGCTTTGGCCCATTGTGTCTGAGCTGGTCATCAAGCACCTGGCTGTAGTAATCTCGTTTTCCAGCACTTACCCCATAGCCTTGTATGATACGGTGTTTCAAATGTTCATCTAAATACTTCTTCAGGCTTCTGCCTCTCTCACCATTTTAGGCAATGTGTTCCAGATAGTCACTACCCTCCAGGTGAAAAAAAAATCTTTCCTCAAATCCCCTCCAAAACCTCCCGATCCTTACATAAAAGCTGTGTGCCTGGGTATTGATCCCTCCATTAAGGGGAAACGTTTCTCCCTATCTGTCCTATGTCCCTCAGAACCTTGTACAATTACATCCTCTGTGTGCTCTCCTCCCTTCTAAAGCAACTCCTCACAGCTCTGATATAATAAACCCTGAAGCACCTTATCGCAGCTGAAATGCAACAAATTCTGAAGCTACAAGATACAGTCCCCGTGCAATTTTTATTTTATGCCAATGCAAGATCAGCTGAAAAGACTCCAATCCTGCTCCATTTCATGTTATCCAATCTAACGTCTAACTTTGCTTTTCTCTCTGAAAGCTTCCATTAAGACAAAATGTGACCATCAAATTATGCAAATTATGCTGTGATACCCTACGTCAAAGTTTCCATCCCACTTAAAACCATCTGAACTGCAGCAAATCCAGCTCATTGCAGAAGCAGCAGGTGCCCAGGCCCCTGACTCTCTGTTCCTATCGTATGCATACAATACCTAGGGTTGACCTGCACTCAATCTATCTTTTTCTCAACCTCAATATATTTATAAACCTTAAATTAAAATAAGAAAGACCACACTTAAAAGAGCCCATATTGCGCCCTCACGTTCCACCCCCCCACCCCCGTGCTCCGTGTAGGAGACAGATCCTTAAGGTGGCATGGTGGCTCAGCGGTTAGCACTGCTGCCTCACAGCGCCAGGGACCCGGGTTCAATTCCACCCTCGGCCGACTGTCTGTGTGGAGTTTGCACGTTCTCCCCGTGTCTGTGTGGGTTTCCTCTGGGTGCAAAAGGTTTCCTCCCACAGTCCAAAAATGTGCAGGCTAGGTGGATTGGCTATGCTAAATTGCCTGTAGTGTTTAGGGATGTGTAGCTTAGGTGGGTTATAGGGGGATAGGTCTGGGTGGGATGCTCCAAGGGTCGGTGTGGACTTGTTGGGCCGAAGGGCTTGTTTCCACACTATAGGGATTCGATTCTATTGTAATTCAGTCATAACAGTGCAGAAGAAGACCATTCAGCCCACCAAGGCTATGCCAGCTCTCTGTAAAGCAGTCCAGCCAGTTTCATTCCCCTTGGCTATCCCTGTGGCTCCTAGAGCTCCCCAAAATACCTGGGAAAATTCACTCACAAAGGGTGACCATGGTTCTCCGATTGCAGGCTGTTTATCCCTTTGGTGCCTGCTGATTGGTCCATTGGTAGGAGTGGGGGATTGAAGTCTGGGAGCCAACAGCCAATTGGCTAGGGTTGATAGCAGCCTTCTTGCTCGGGGGGGGGTGGGCGGAATTGCACAGGCAGTGGGAAATAGGAGGTTTCAACGGAGATTGGGGGAGGGGGTGGTTGCAGAAAGGCAACAAGGCAGATGGGAGATTTGGAGATATAGGCTGCAAAGGAAGTGGCAAGAGACAGGAGGTTGCAAGGGAGATTGGGGAGAATTGAATGTTGTGAAGAAGGGAAACAGGGAAGGTTCAAACCCCTCAACAAAGTCAAGCTGCTTCTGATGGCAGCACCTGTAATGGGACATCAGAGCCATTGCCACAACTCTAACCCAAGTATTAACTCTTTTGTGATTAACAGTACCTTATCCATGTGGAAAAGTAATGGTCACTTCATCAACTGAAGACACCGAATTGATCCTCAGGGTGATTGATGACGGCCAGAGTAGGAGGGGCGAATACCCTTGGCAGGTGAGGACATAAGGCACAAAAAGGCCCTATGATACTGTCAGTACAAGCTGTGTTCTAACTGCTTTACACTTTTATCCTCTTTGTGGCAGGGCAACGTCCTGTTCTTGAAGCTATGTTTTGTCTCACGGTACTGCCTGGTCTTCTTGCACTGGGTGCAGTGGGCAATGTAGACAGTGGATACATCCCAATCTTCCCCTTGCCCCAACTGTTTGTGGCATACTTTCCCAAAGGCCTTCCTTTAGTGACAGAAGCCCATACCACAAAGTTGAGAAATGAATAGAATCAAGTCATTTTCGATTCCATGCATATTTTCCAACTTATCATCACAGATTCAAAGAAGCTCCTATTGCTGCTACTTACCAATTTGGGGCTATTTCTCGAGCAGCTCTTTCTCCAAATCTCTCACTCTTTGGAAATATGAAACTTAGCTAAATACAACTTCAAGGGTATGAAGGTAGAACTGGCTATAGTAGACTTCAAAAATAGGTTAAAAGATTAAGACAGTTAGTAAGCAATTTAAGGAGATAGTTATTAACTCTCAACAAAGATATATTCCACTGAGAAGGGTTCTATCAAAAGGATGCAACATCGACAGTTAACTAAGGAAGTCAGGGTGGCATTAAATCAAAAGAATGCTGTAAAGATTAATGCTAGCCTAGAAATTTTAGAAACCCAACGAAAAATGCTCTAAAGAAAAGGAAGAAATTAGATTCAGTGTAAGTCAACAATAAATATAAAAGCAGACAGTAAAAGCTTCTGCAGATATACGACAGGACATGATTAAAATAAACATCTGGTCTTTAGCAGATGAGACTAGAGAATTAATCATGAAAAATAAGGAAATTCAGAATAGGTAATTAAACTTGGAATTTTGCATCTGCCTTCACAATAGAAAACACAAAAAGCACCCAAGAATAGTAAAACAAAATCTAAGAAAATCAAGAAGCAAAAGGTAGGAATTTAAAACTCATTACGGAAAGTATACTAGGAAAGCTAAAGGGATTAAAGGCTTACAAGTTCCCAAGTTCTGATGGCCTGCATCCTCAGGTCTTTGAAAAAAGTGGCTGCAGAGATAGTGAAAGCACTGGTTATAGAATCATTGAACCCTACAGTGTGGAAGCTGGTTTTTGGTCCATCAAGTCCACACTAACCCTCCGAAGAGCACCCCAACCAGGCCCATACCCCTTACCCTATCCCTGTCACTCTGCATTTTACATGGTTAATTCACACGGCCTGCACACCCCTAGACACTATGGACAATGTAGCATGGCCAATCCACCCTAACCTGCACATCTTTGGACTGTGGGAGGAAACTAGAGTGCCTGGAGGAAAGCCATGCGGGCACAGGGAGAATGTAATCTTCCTAAATTGCTCAGATTCTAGAATGGTCCCAGCAAATTGGAAACTGCAAATGTAACACTTCTATTTAAGAAAGGAAGGGGGCAGGGAGCATTAAGCCAGTTAGCAAAACATGGAAAAAGTGAGGGTCTAGAAAATCATAATGCTATTAGGTAATGTTTACATGGCTGGCTGAAGGGGAAAAGTGTTTGACAAATTTATTAGAGTCATTTGAGTATGTAATCAGCAGGATGCATAAAGGGAAACCAGTAAATATTGTGCACTGGACTTCCAAATGGCCTTCAATAAAGTGCTACATAAAAGTTTAGAACATGGATGATATATTAACATTGATAGATTGCTTTCACTATCTCTGCAGCCACTTTTTTCAAAGACCTGAGGATGCAGGCCATCAGAACTTGGGAACTTGTAAGCCTTTAATCCCTTTAGCTTTCCTAGTATACTTTCCGTAATGAGTTTTAAATTCCTACCTTTTGCTTCTTGATTTTCTTAGATTTTGTTTTACTATTCTTGGGTGCTTTTTGTGTTTTCTATTGTGAAGGCAGATGCAAAATTCCAAGTTTAATTACCTATTCTGAATTTCCTTATTTTTCATGATTAATTCTCTAGTCTCATCTGCTAAAGACCAGATGTTTATGTTTAACACGAACTAATGTTGATAATGTTAGGAAGTAATGGGCCATTTTCAACTTGACAAACTAATTAGTGGAGGGCCTTATGGAAGAGGAATTCAGCCTCAAGGCAGCTAATAGAATTTTACTGAATGGCAGAGCAGAATTGAAGGCCCAAATGGTGTACTCCAGCCCCTATTTATTATCCATTCCCCAAATGACAAAGTTGAAATTAGCCTGATTTTAGTAAATGCGCTGTCCCTCTGGAGCCCACTTCCCCGAAGCAGGAGATTTATAACTCAAAGTGCTTGACTGGGCCACACCTCTAGTTCTCCATTCCCCTCAGGCTATCAATTGGGATGCAAAGGCATACAAGGCTATGGCCAAGTGCTGGAAAATGGCATTAGAATGGTTAGATGGTAGCTTCTGACTGGCACAGGCACTAGAGACCGAAGGGCCTTTATCTGTGCTCTAGATAGAGTCATAGAGCGTGGAAACAGACCCTTTGGTCCAACCAGTCCATGCCGACCATGTTCCCAAGTTAAATCCACCTGCCTGCTCCTGGCCCATATCCCTCCAAACCTTTCCTATTCATGTACTTATCTAAGAGCCTTTTAAAAGTTTTAACTGTGCCCCACATCCACCACTTCACAGGCAGCTTATTCAACATTCAAACCACCCCCTGTGTAAAATATTTGTCCCTCACACCTTTTTTAAATCTCTCTACTCTCACCTTAAAAATATGCCCCCTCATCTTGAAATTCCCCCAACCTAGGGAAAAGACACCTACCACTAACGTTATCTATACACCTCATGATTTTATAAACCTCTCCAGTCACATTTCAACCTCCTACACTCCAGTGAAAAAGGCCCCAGCCTATTCAGCCTTTCCTTATAACTCAAACCTCCATGACCCTGTGAAAACACAAACATTCTTTAGCTGTGTAAACTATCAAACAGTACTTTGTAGAAGCAGGGCTTGAGTAAAGGTTTGTTCAAACTCATTGATACTCTGCATGCTGCCTAGGCAAACTCTGCTGGCTTCCTGAGCAATCTGCTCTCAGCAGTTTCCTACATATCATGCAAGCCTTACAAACAGCTTCAAAACATTTATCTACATGTATCCTGAAAATTCTGAGACTGAGTCAAACCAGAAAGTTCCACAAATCCTCTCTCACTGGAGCAAAACCTGCCACACTGTTCAATTCCCTATTCAAAGGCAAGATGGAGATTGCAAGCTCTGATGGGAGAGTAACTTTCTTACTTCAGTGCAGTCTGGCTGGTGCAACTCTCTTGTCATCCTGTTCTGTCTCATCGCAGGTCAAGGAATATTTGGGGTATTGATGTGAAGACACTGTCCCCTTGCCACCTTGAGCATAACAGTATAGTAACTGCAGCAATGTTAACCAAAGCTTCAAATAGCACTTGCTCCACTGACTGTGACCTGCTTCGTACAGGAACTGAAATAGAATTTTAGACGAATTGCACAGGCCATCACTCCCATGCATTCACCTGCTCCCTATTCCGTGGAATTCCTTAGGCAATGATATTCCACATCAGACAGACTATCCAATGATAAATAAGGTGGATGGCTAGGTTATCTTATTGCTGGCTAACAATCCAGACCACAACCCCCGACCAGAAACTCAGTCTTCACAAATTTGAGCTTGCAGAATTTCTGGGAATAAGATAGTTTGTATGTTTCTGCCCTAGGTGCTCTTAAATCATGACAACAAAACATTCTGTGCAGGTGCCATTCTAAATGAGGACTTTGTGCTAACCTCAGCTGACTGTGTAAAGCAGTTGCGTTCCTTCACAGTTGTCGTGGGTGAGTTCTTTCAATTTTTAGTTTCTGCCTTTTCGATATCAAATTGAATTTGATGATATTGTGCTACTGAGGTTTTGTTTTATTTTTTAACCCTTTTCCTCCTTCGAGTATGGCTTGAAATTTGGCATTGTGAGCATCATACCTCCTTAATAGTTGGTTATCTGTGAGCCTAATCAGTGTGTCTTCAACAGCTACTGAACCATTAACAACACTGCCCTAAGCAGCCGAGTTAGTGAAAATCAGCCAGAACTATGGCACGTATTTTGTGTCCAATCATCGTAGAACACAAAGTGAGGCAAGTTACTTCATATATTGTCAGCTGAATTATAATAGGTCAAGATGAATTCGTATGGGAGGGAGGCTGCATAGAAAATGAGCACCTGTATAGACCAAATGGATCAATTAGCCTGTTTGTACACTGTAAACTGGAATTAGTTTAGCTCAGTTAGCTGGACAGTTGGTTTGCAAAGCAGTGTGATGCTGGCAGCGTGGGTTCAATTTCCATCACTGGCTGAGGCTACCATGAAGGACTCACCTTCTCAACTTTTCCCCTTACCAGAGAAGAAAATTACCACCAGTCATCTCTCTTTGATGAGAGCAGTCCTATGTTGTGTTAAGACTATGGCAACACAGCAGGCTGTATGTTCTATTTTGAATCTATGAATTCACTGCCGTAATATTTCTCGATATAGGTACACATTCAAACATTCTGCTGCTGATTTTAAAATGATAGCTATTTTCTGCTCCTTAACTCTGGTTTCGTCTTGCCATCCGGGGGGGGCACTCTCCTAAGTGTCCAGTCCAATATTACTCTCTCAAACACCACCACCTAAAGCAGTTTATCCAGTCAGGTATCATTCTTTCCTCTGTGGGAGTTCGTTATGTACAAATTGGCAAATGTTTCCTCACTTTTGAGATGTAGTCAATTGTAACTCTGGCTGTAAAATACTTTGGGAAACCTTGCAGTTACGAAAGGCTCCATGAAAACAGAACTACCTTTTTTTTTTAAAAACCATATCTCGGAAAAATACAATTTTATGAAAAAAATTATAACATGCATTTCTCCACGATGAAAATCTACTTTATTTTTTTTTTTATTGCAGGAGAGCACAACCTGGAAGTGAACGAAGGCGTTGAGCAAATCCACAATGTCAGTCAAATACACATTCATTCAAGATACTCCCCAGCTACTTTCGAGAATGACATTGCGCTCTTGAAGTTAGAGACACCGATTGAGTTTAACAACTACACCATTCCCATCTGTCTTCCTGAAACAGACTTTGCTGAATTCTTTTTAATGAACTCTGAATATGGGGCCATCAGTGGATGGAAACTGAAGCAAGGCCATGTTGACCAGCCAGTTCTTCTCAGCATTCCATATGTTCCTTATATCAAACATTCCAAATGTGAGGGGATGCAGCACTTTCCCGTTGTACATCGAATGTTTTGTGCAGGTATCGAAGAACTGGCAGACCCACTGTGTTACTTAACCAGAGGAAGTCCCTTTGTCACTAAGTATAAGGATGTCTGGTATATGACAGGCATAAGTTTAGGGGGAGGAGAATATGACTGCAATGTGATACCTGTTTATACAAAGGTATCAAGATACATCAGCTGGATTAAAAAAATAATGGCCCAATCATCCTTGGGACTCTAGCTGTGCAGCCGACATTAAGTTAATGCAACTTCAGGAAGTATTTGTGTTACTAATGCTCCTATAGACAGAGACACGGTAGTGGAGAATTGAGTTGGCATTCATAAAGCATAGAAATGATTAAAAATTGATTACTGACTCAAGTCCTACTTCTGTTCCCATATTCAAACTCCATATGGCCATTTGCAAGAATAAAAAAATGGATGCTTACCCTTGTAGACAGCAACTGGTCTTAGCCATGCCAGAAACTATGTAAAGCTGCTGATGGGATTGAAAACTGCTGTACCGAACGGATAGCATGGAAGCACTCGGATGCAGGGGATAGCAATGATGTTGGTTGTAAAGTTGGTGACTATTGAATGTTAATTACAATACTAATCAGGACAGCGACTATTGCAATTATGTTGTTTGTGGCAGCAAACACAGCGGTGCTGATAATCAATGGTGGTAATTAGTGAAATATTTGTATCTCCCAGACACAACATTGCGTTCATAGTTGTTTTTGAACAATTGTATGCAAGATGACAGATTTCTAACAGAACTTCTGCAATTACATTTTCTTCTTTCCTAACCTTCGTTTATGGAGCTTCAGAACAAGCACTGGTACAGACTAACAAATGAAAAATACAATGTTGATTTGAATATTTAAGCCTATGCTAGTTGATGTCCTGTGGTAATGCACATAGGAGCAAAAGACCAGAGAACGCCAGCGAGAATGACCAGTCACTGCCAAGAGGAGCAGCGTTATCGGACAGCTGAGATGGCTCATTCACAGATACAAAATGAGTGAATGTCTCCTCAGATCAAAACCCAGGGAGGTAGTTACTTGTCCTGATCCGTGTAAAAACATTGGTCCTTGAGGCTAACTATCAAATTATAATAATGGCGCCATTCCCCACTATCCTATAGACAGACATCTAACAATGGAGATTGCATCAATAAATCCAGCAATTTTATATTATTTACAAATGGTCTCGTTAGTTTCTTCACCAAGAGCACCTTTCGTGACAGCCTGACTTTTTATCCACTCTATCTTATGGGCTCTGAGATATACACAGTGGTTCAAATTTTCTACGCGCCTCTTAGGATGGAGATGGCTCCCTTTGCTCAGTCCTGGGATCAACAGAGGACAGGATGACTCCTTAATATATTGCACAAGAAGTGGTTCCAGTGTTACACTCTTGTTCGAGACTTCAGCAATGAGCAAAGAGTCAGTAGCTGTTCCAGGGTGGGTGGATGGGGGAAGAAAGATAAGTCTTATGAACATCAACAAACCACATGGTGCTGGGAATGGAGTTGCTCATCAGTGATCAAAGTGAAAACTGATGCCATTGAATCTGAAAGATGCTGGAATCTCTGTTTAACGGAGAATCTGATTGGCAAACAGATTTCACTGGTCACACTGAAATGTTGCTGTCTTTGCAACAAGTACAGGTACATGTCTCACCAGCTTTGAACCCTAACTCAGCATTATCTGTAGCCACTTCGATTCTGACTTTAGGTTGCTCGGTGGAACTTGCAGCAGTGTTGGCAGAGGTAAAGGTGACTACACTTTTCAGCACTGTGTTTTGTCTTTCCTAAATTGCAGAAAAAAATGTTAACAAGTAGGTGAGGCAGATCCCAAGTTATATGTAAGGGTTAGTTTGTGCATCTCTCATGGGAAAGCTTTGGAGAGTTCGAAGACTGTATATAAACATTGGAAGGAGATGCATATTGGCATTCCCACGCTGATCGCAGTGAATGGACCCGAACTTAAGAGGAAACACTGGAGTACATTGTCATGAATTTAAGGTTGACATAATGATCCTCACTGATTTCTACTGCTACTGCATTGTAATAATTGACTTCCATATACCCATGCTGCTGAGGGTGATAGTTTCTTCCCGATACCTTCATCCACAGCACCATCACTTTCCTCAGATAGCAACACTATGACTTCAGCTTCAAATATGCAAAGTTTATTTTTCCCTCCTTTTCCACCTGTTACTGTATCCTGTTTTCCAACAACCCCTGTAAGTGCATCCAACCTTTTGAACAGCGAGGTTGTCACCCCATTTTGTCTGGCCCTTCTCTGTGGAGAGGGGAACAAAGTTACAATTTCAGGCTGATGAGCTTGCATCAGAAACATTTTTTTAATGCATTCATGGGCATTTGGCAAAACCCTTGATACTTGTTGCTTATAAGCAACTGGTAGTCAGGCTTTAACCACTGGGGTCCATGTCGTGTTAAGGATTTCTGATCCAGTAACGTAGAAGGAACAGTGTCGTAGTTCCAAGTCAGCATGCTATGTGATGTGGAGGGGAACTTGCAGGCAGTGGTTTTCCCAAGTATTCGCCACCTTTATTCTTCAAGGTTATAGAGGTCACGGTACTACTGCTGTTGTAGGATGCTTGGCAATTTGGGGGAATCCATCTTGTAGTTAATAGAGATTTTTGCCTCTGTGTGCCGGTGGTAGAGGGAGTGATTGCTTAAGGTAATGGACTGGGTGCTGATCAAGCAGATTGCTTTGTCCTGGATCTTCTCAAGCATCTTGAATGTTGCTTCTAGCACAGACAGGGGGTGGAATGTTTGCGGGAAAAATGACTTAGCATTTCAATCGTGGGTTTTGTATGCATTCCATTTTGAAGTATATTAATACAGTTGTGGTACAAATGATTAATATGGTGCCAACACAATCTAAATTCTTGGGTTTCTCCAGCAAAGATATGTAAACAGTGTACTTCAATAAAAAGAATAGCTTGTATTTATTACAACATCATTGTCATTTAACAAGTTTAAGTTAACAAAATATACCTTGCATTACATTTACATCTTGAATGGGAAATACAAAATGATACTGGGACAATGACAGAGGAAATGCCTCAAACTGATCCCAGAAAATACTCACTGGGATGCAAGTCACATCATCCTTAGCTTTAGATCAATGATCCTTGGTTATGAAGCCATCAACCAACACCAGATGTGTGTCCCAGGATAAATGTGGGGGAGCAATATATGAACTTCCAACCTTAATTTGTTAAGACACAGAGGATAGTGGTGGGAAAGGATTCTGTTTACTGACAACAAGCTTCTGATGCTGGTGAGAGATATAACCCTTGATGTGTCCCTACAAAACAAAGAAAGAACTGTGATCACACATACATATGCTACATTTAACAAAAAGACATGCATTTAGATTGCACCTTCTGCAATTTCAAGATGCTTCACCAATCAAATATTTCCTGAAGCTTACATATAGATGTAACACATTACACTGTAACATAAACAAATGCTGCAGAAAATTTGTGTTCAGCAACATCCCACAAACAGCAATGTCTGTAGCCAAAGAATCTGGTTTTGCGACGTTGCTGAGCAATAAATTCTGGTCAAATTTCCAAATGGTCCACACAGTCACTTACATAGTCAGGCAGTTGAATCAAAAGGATATTAGTGAACCAGATGGGTTTTTACAACAATCGATCATTGTTTCATGATCACCATCCCTTAGACGAGCCTTCAAACCCAAGTTTTATTAGAATTTTAATTCTACCAACTACAATAGTTAGATTAGAACCGGTGTTCCCAAAGTGTTAGCCAATGATATAGGCACAATGCCATCTACCCCAATGTTTATCTGTGGCCGTTAAGAATTAGTGTCAGCCTTGCCTAAAAGGCTGGTATTCTCACTTGTGAGTCTGTAGATCAGTGTTATTACTACTACAAACCCAAGCAGTGAACTCCCCCCTCAGGACTACACTATCAGAGGTGTGGCCTTTCAGCTGAACTTGAACTATAATTCCAAGGCAGGATGCTGTGTGATGTGGAGGGAAATATAATATCCTTTAGAGAAGAAGATCTGTGGCCATTATCAGATCAGTTTGTTAACTTGTGTCACTGAACATTAGATCCCAAAACCATGAAGCTGGTGGGTGTGAGACTGACCTTCTTTTCCTTTTAATAACTGCTAACCACATTCATTTTGAAATTGCTTGGAAGAAATATATTACAGTGAAGAATCTATGAATCACAGAATCTTTCAGCAATACCACTCAGGAGACCATTTGGCCCATCACACCTCTACTGAGGTTTCCAATTAGTCCTAGCCTTCCTGCACATTTTATCAAATCTGACACTAATAGTTTGGACATTTTGTAACCTATATTTCCCTCATAAATTGACAATTGGAATCAAACGAAGTATCAAGATGATTTAAAACATACCATGTAGATTAGGTTTGCCAAAATACATTGGACTTCATCGATGTCAACATCCTCGACTTGCATGAAATTAAGAGCAACCAGAAAAGCATCAAGTGGTAGCTGATGTGTCCTGAGCAGCAAATACCTAGAGAAACAGAGTATACTTAAATGTAAAACCACTGGTTAAGAGCACTTGTCTTGTAGAAGTGTGTAACACACACACAGACAACAAATGAAGTGTTAGTGCTGTACAATGAAGATACTTACACTTTCTTAAAAAGATTTCTGTACGTGATGATTTTCAGTTTCTCAAGTATGAGAAAGATTCCACAGCGAATGAAGAAGGCTTCATGTTTCGCTAAAGCATCATTCAGTAGCAGAAGGTTCCCTTCACTAATTAAAAAGAAAAGACAAGGAAATTATACTCTAGAACTGAGCTCAAAAAACTTTACCTGAGCCATATATCGACCCGTGACGGTAACCTGGTCCACTACTGCCTTGAATTGATTGCTGGTGACTGGATGTTTGCAATGATAATTCAGACTTGCAGTTGATAATTTGATCATTTTATAGCATCATTGACATTAAAATCAGCCAAGGAACTTTAGAGCGAGGATGAGACAGAAAGAGCAAACAGGAATATCAATGCTGTAGATGGCAAGTCATTGACTGAGAGGGAACAAACAGCTTGTTCATACAACTTTGGGGTTTGCAAACAATTCTAACTGTAAAGAAAAGGGAAGGAGAAAACAGCTCTCAAAGTCACAAATGGCATCCTTGTTGACTAACCACTGCAAATTAGCTTTCTCTATCGGTCTTAGATGAGCCTTTGACATGACTGACTGCATATTTTTCCAATGCTTCTCCTCCCTTGCCAGCTGGGTGGAATTTTTCTCAATTGATTCTATGCCTATCTGTTTATTTGTAGCCAGACAATCTTCTGAAATAGCTTCTCTTCCCAATCCTGCATCATTCCCTCTGGAGACCCCAACCATCTGTCCTTGCTCCTACACCCCCTGTTTTTCATATACATGCCACCCACCATAACATCAAGATTCCACTGTAGGCAAATGATGTCAAGCTACAGCAATATCTCTCTTCAGCCCTTTATGCCTCTGATTTCCAAGATTAATCATCTGACAGGCAGTATTAAATAAGTATAAATTTATTCTGATTAAATATTGGGAAGATGGCCTAAAACCCACTGCCTAGTAACTGTCAATCACATTGCTGTACAGGGAGTATTTGATTTGACCAACATTTGAGGGAGAAAGTTCCAACTTACACTCCCCTTTGCTTAATGAAGCACTTCCTGACATCACCCTCAATGGTCTAGTTCTAATTTAAGACTGCATGCCACCCCCAACCCAACCATCTCTCATACTCCTTCCTCCACCACCACCACTACTACTACCTTGATCTGGGCTCCCCAGAGGAAATCATTTTTTCCCCTATAACCTATTATACTCTAACTATTTGTTATGAAAATGTGTGATCCAAATATTAATTTTTAATACAACAAATCCTCATTCTCTGTGGGGTAAGGGCACAGGCATCCCACTAATAACAACAAATGCATTACCGTTACAATGTTAATCTCCTATCTATTGCGAAGGACCATGCGATCAGGCTGGATGGGGGCAAAGAAAGATTGGATCTAGGACCAAAGGACCAACCTCACAGGTATACGGATCCACACCTAGCAAATCCGTGGATAAGGAAGACGGAGTGTAACATTGATTGGACCCAGCGGTATATATAGATATATCTTGAATTTTTAATG